TCTATCTATCTATCTATCTATCTATCTATCTATCTATCTATCTATCTATCTATCTATCTATCTATCTAATCCATTTCTCTTCCAGGTACTAACTGCCTGGGGAATGTTCTTGTTGTGTCTCTGGACTGCTTGGCTGACCTTAGATCTTGAGCCACTGATGGCAAACGGTTGTCCAAAGATCAGTGGGGCTTCATGTTTTTGTGCTTGCCGGGGTTATGACAGTCCAAACGTCTGCATGTGCACCAGAAATAGGTGCAGGTGTGATCTTTTCTTGCTAAATATAACAAAGTGAAACATTAACAATGAAACACAAAACAGTTCTAACTCGGTATGACGCAAAAAGAATAAGTAAACATAGTCTTCAACCATGTGACCTTTACTTCCCCCCCCCCTCTCCGTCCCACCACAGTAGAAGCTTCTCAGCTCTTTATCAAAGGAGGAAAAAACAGAAATCATCTCAGTGGAGAATGATCTATTCATAATATGGACGTTTTCCGTCGGTGGGATTTACCTGATGGAGTTCCCTTCTAATTACCACGTAAAAGGTTAAAGTTCATGGCAGTTCAATGAGAAAATGGCTGAACAATGTAGCCTCTTTGGAAGTTTCACTCAACAGACATTCAGTATCATTTTACTGTGCAATGTGAAGGTTGCACAGAGACCCAAAGACTGTATCTTTAAAGGATTTTGTTCTAGAACAAATGCAAAAGCACGTTTTAAATAAACTGTAAAGTGAACAAATCTGGAGCAGGATGGACCTCCTGAACTGGAGGTGATACAGATACAGACAATAATTACTTAAAGTTAGCACAGACTGGATTTTTAAAAAATGCTGACAAAGTGTTGTTTCAGTTTGGTTGATTAAATAAAGACACAGTTGTGTGATCATCCAATGATTTTTTTTATCATGTCATGTAAAACCTTCAAATGTGAAGATGCCGTTTTTTCCAAATTATGTTATTAAGTCATTGAATGTTGACCCTGAAATGAAATAAGAAGTAAATTGCTCAATTGAAATGAATAAAGGTATTTACACTTCCTATGTTCATTTTAAAGTGGTGGTTATTAAAAAAGACTAAAATTTGCGATGGCTTTTTTAAAACATCCAGGATTGTATAGGTTATATCTTTTATAAAATATGTTGTTATGGCTGTTGATTTTGTTAGCAAAAGTCATTTATTAGTGGAGATAAAGTCGATATGGTACACATCTGACACGTTTCTAATTGTAAGAGCCAGTTAATGGGGAGTTCATATAGAATAATAATTTAGATTAAAAATGTATAAATATGCTTAATTTACTTTTTGGGGAATTCATGATGAGTATATTTTCTAGAATGTATAACTTAGTTGATGTAAAATGATGCTTTTATTGTGAAAAGTAATTTGGCTTCCAATACGTAATGCGTAACAATAATATTGCCCGTATGCACGTTTAAGTTTAGATTGCAGTTCGATACGGTGGAAGCAGCACAATTTTTTGACCGATCTGTACCGAGCCTTTTATTTATTTTATTTTTTCTGCAAGTGTACTTTTTTGAGTTGTTTAAGTAAATATCGTAAAAGAAGACTTGGTTTCAGTCGAGTGATTCAGATATTGGTTGCTAGACAAACTGCAAAGGTGGTACGACAAACTTTTGGGACGCAGAGTGCCACTACAGTAATATCTCTGCAAACGGAAACAGCGAGTCAAAGGTTGTGAAACATGGACGGTGATCTGGTGGCGAGTTGTGAGTACCTTATAAAGGATGGTACCGGGAGCAACGCTGTCCTGCTCATCTGAGCTTTTCCTGTCAGCAGCATTCCAGCACTTCCTCCCTTCAGCCGATTAGCTTATCTGCTCCCAGTGTGGCATCAATGGTCAGCCGTCGCCTCTCAAGCAGCGGCTAAAGCAGACCGTCCTTTTCCTGTCCTGGGAACCGGAGGGGGGCCGAGGGTCCTCATCCAACCGTCACCTCTCCCAAACAGCTACAGAAGAACACACACCTTTTATTCAGTCAATTGTCAGACACATAATTCTGCAATCACTTCAAACTTCTAGTCATAAACGCATTTTCGGGTGCATTTTTTCTGTTTTATTTCAATGTCCATTCTGTGTCATTTGTATGTTACCAATTCAGAACCAACTTTGAAGACAGAATAAGGGTGACTGAAATGAAATCTTCATACAAATTGGCCAAAATGATAAGATGCCCTGTTAGAAAAAAATGTAAAGGGAGTCAACAGATTGAATACAGAAATACTTTTTTAAACCAGTCACACACCCAGAGCCTTCACCAGATAGATACGACTATGTTTTTTTCATTTTTTCTTTAGTTTTCTATGAGACAGCTGTCATCAGGGTCAGTGAGCCAGGTCCTTCCTGGATCCCCTCTCCAGCCGTGGCATTTCCCACCTGACTTATAACCGGGATTTCCTCCCCATTTCATTCAACCTTCATCTACACATAGGCTCATTTTGCTGATGATGTATCAGATAATTATCTCAGGTTTTTCTGTTAGTCCCAGTGAACTTCTTCCCATAAAAAACACACCCACTCCTGCCCTGACGCCTGAGCCAATTTCAGAGGCTCGTCCTCCGGTGAAATGTCAATTAGCTGCCACCCACCTCCACACGGGGTCCTCAGCCTCACGGAGCTCAGGCCCATCGCTCATCCCTCACCCCGCGCACTCGTCTGCAGGGTAATGGGATGGAGGGAACAACAAGAGAGGACAAACACACACACACACACACGTAGTCCCATATCAGCTCATTCATCTATTTCTGTTGACCCCGCTCTCCTTTCTAAGAGAAGGTGTTTGATTGGACACTGTGTTGTCGACATTGGACAATAATCAATCCTGATGGTTCATTAGAAATCTGCCTCAGAGGTAGGTTTAAAAACCAAAAGTAGGAATGTTTGAAAGCTTTTCAGTCATTGTGATATCATATATGCTTGTTACTAACTGGACTCTCTCCCTTTCCCGTAGTCGTGTGCTTTCTCGTCCCCCTCCTCTCTCCTCCATCACATCCTCCAGATGTTCCTGGATCTGTGGTTGTGGATCTGTGGACCTGTGGTTGTGGATCTGTGGTTGTGGATCTGTGGTTGTGG